AATTCTATCATACAAGATAATTATTTTCTACTTTTTAATTTACTATAATCACACATTATGCAATCCAAAATCTACATTTGAATTAGTACGTAATAAGTTATATTTAACTTGTTGGTAAGAGATGTGATGTGATTTAAAAATAGATTGTTGAGGGTAATCCCGTCAAATACACGAAACTAATTACCGAAAATAAGCTAAATTAATCGAAAGAAGAAAATTAAATTAAATTAAATTGAAGAAAAAGACCGGTGGATTTATTCCACTTTCTTCATAAACCTTCCATCCTAAGCTCTCCCCTGTTTCCATTTCCACATTTTCACTCACAACTTCAAATTCCATTCCAACATTTTCAATCTCATTCCATCTCCAACCTCTCGGAACCAGATCTATATCCTCCTTTCCTTCTCGCCGTAATGCCGTCGATTCCACTTGATCGCGAGCCCGAGATCGCCTGACTCGCCATCCAGCCGAACTTCGACTCACTCCAGCCACCGCCTGGTCTTCCCCTCCATCGCTAGAAAATGGGGGCAGTGCCTTCGACGCCGCGGCAAACCAGCAGCAGCGAGACAGCGGAGTACCTAATTGCTACGTTTGTCGGTGAGAAGTCGTTTCCTTTGGCCTCGGATTTCTGGCAGAAGCTTCTCGAGCTTCCCCTTAGTCTCCGCTGGCCGGCGCACCGTGTTCGCGAAGCTTGCAACCTCTTTGGTTAGTGATTTCTATCTCAAGTCCTTGCTGTTTGTACAGTTCTTAATTCAGGTTTTGGTTTGGCTATTTTCTCTTGTGAGCATGTGATCATTAAGCTAGGTTGAAGTAGTATGATTGAAGCTATGCCAATCCCTTTTGCCTGTTAATACATGAATCTGGTGTATCTGTTGGTTTACATTTATTTCATTTTTTTGTTTTTTTGCAGCACAAAACAACTGCTATACTAGGCACCTGGCGAAGATTTTGATTCACCTTGTGTGGTGTTTACAAGAGGCCATTCGAACTTCTAGTCCTCCGTCTGATTTGTATATGAAGGCTGTTAATGCAGTGTATATTTCGTCTGTTTTCTTGAAGTACACATTTGAAAACTCCCGAAGTGAAAACCTTCATGAGTTGTTTTTGTCTCTTGATGAAACTGAACCAATACCTAGTGCCTTTGCAACAGGTAAATATTTAACAAGTCATCACTTTTAAAAAAAAAAACTAATGGAATAAGAGTTTATAATTGGGGCTATTCCCGCTGATGTTTTTCAAGTTTGATGTAAATGGTTTGGTGGTTGTCTTTTCATGTCGACTTTCATCAAAGTATTGCCTAACTGTTTGATGCATAATGTATTAAGCCTTATTGATTAACCTAATTGATCACTCAGCTTAATGGGCTCTCTCTTTTTTCTCCTTTTTTTTCCCTTGTAATTATTTAAATGTTTATTTTACTGGTAAATAACATCATAACCATGAGTTTGAATTTGTTTTGAGCAGATCAAACAATTGAGAATCTTGTCATGCATAATGTGCTAAGCTTTATTGCTTCAGTAGATGTAAGGTACTTGATGGTTTACGGATGTGCACCTTACAATTAACTTTGAAAGTTATGTTTTTTCTTTTTCTTTTTCTTTTTCTTTTTTCCTCTAATTATGATTATTTTATTGCAAGTTCCGATACATACCTTCTACACCAGGAGCTGCTTAACTTCTTGCTTGTTGCAATGTCGACTCAACTTTTATCTGGACCAACTCCTGGACCGAAAGATGTAAATCCTTTTATTGACGCAGCAATGTCTCAGGTTAGAAATTCAATCGTGTTTTCAGTTTATTGTTTCAAGATGTTAACACCTAACGAACTCATTTATAAGCTCTCAATTTTAATTGCTGTTATCAGGAGATTTCTTTGGTTAGTTCAGTGGTCCATAGATTGCTACTCAATTACATCACGCAGCCTCATGTTCCCTTGAGTAGAGCTTATTCTATTTTTTCTGAAGGAAGTCAGCCTGGTGTTTTAGAGAGAGTGGGTTCTGCAGCTGGTACAGTCTACCTTCAGTCCAATTATATACCAATTGTTTGGTTGCTCTTGATACGGTGCATCATAGTAAGCAAAGCTTCTCATTTATGTTTGACTTGCAGCAAGCATTGTGTTATTGCCGTTCAATTACCTCGTCAGTTCAAATGGTGGGGGCTCTAGAAAGCAACTTGCAGAAAGCAGTCTCCATGTGTTGCTTATTCTCATTCATTATCGTAAATGTCTTGTGAATGAGGAGTCTGTAACAATTAGAAGCAATGAAAGTGTGACTTCCGATCCTCTTTCTAAATTAAGCACTCACTTATCTGATAATCCCTACTGCAAGGTCTTAGTAAATGCAAGGGACATTGAATGTAAGATTCTATTGGTGATTCTTCTTCCCTTCTTTTCTCCTTCCTTTTTATATCTATATATATATTTATTTATTTTATTGAATTATAGTATTATACATTTCTTTTGTGTGTCTGTGTCATTATAATGACAAGGTACAGATGTTAGTAATGAAGGCCTTGCTTGCAGTTGATCGTGTAGATGTTGAGGGGAATGCAAACAATGGTCCCGTTGTTAGGGTGCCTTTTGCATCTTTATTTGATATCCTTGGCACGTAAGTGTCTCTCTCTATTCAAATGTCAATATATGAAGTTATGCTGTTGGGAATTGTTTCAAATGCCTCTCAACTAATTCTGTTGGGGGTGATGTTTCTTTGCTGTGGTTAAACTGAATGTCAGACATTTTGATTATGAGATTGAGTTGTCACATCTATTGTATTATTTGTGAGATTTCTTAATTTTTCTATTTATACTTGTCTAAAGTTTACCATGGAGTTACATAAGTGCTTTGTGTCTGCAGGTGCTTGGCTGATGAGACTGCAGTCCTTTTACTTTATTCGTTGGTGCAAGGAAACTCTGATTTTTTGGAATATGTTCTGGTGCGAACTGATTTGGATACCTTGGTAAGCTGCAACTTCTGCTATCTGCAGAAAAAAATACATTTTTGTTTGACAGAAGAGCCCTATGCAATTTCATGACAATTAACAGAGTGCTTTCAAGTCCATTTGCAGAAATATTAATTTTTTTGGAAGTTTCGGCAGCCTTTTCAAGCCAGTTGTGCTCTGCAACTCTAATTAACACTTAAATCTCTTAGGCCTTTTCTGCTAAGTTCCCAGTCAATAATGCTGAATTTTTTTAGGGCTCCTTCCCATATAAACCACCTCCACTATTTTCAACTCTGCCCCCACCACCTAATGAAATGAAAGACATGCAACAGTAACTTATGCTAAATTATGGTTTGATTTTGCTTTGACCTTTGTTTTCATGCAGCAATGTTGTTTTGCATGAGATATCAATTCATTTTGCTCTGGTTTTGGCATATATCTCTTTAGCTTAATTCATTTCATACTTGTCTTCAACAAATGTATGATTTTAGATGTGCGGTATTTAATATTTATGTGGCATATCTGCATCATAGCCTAATACCAATATGTGTTTCTATGATGAAATCAACAGTTGATGCCTATTCTGGAAACACTGTATAATGCTTCAAGGCGGACATCTAATCAAATATACATGCTACTGATCATACTTCTCATACTTAGTCAAGATTCTTCTTTTAATGCAAGCATTCACAAGATGGTAAGTGTTCATCTGTTGGACTATGTTTTGATCTTGTGGGACAGGTAATTTGTTAATGTATTATGCATTGGACAGATACTGCCTGGTGTCCCATGGTATAAAGAGCACCGTCTTCATCGGACAACCCTTGGTTCCTTGATGGTCATAATTCTGATTCGGACTGTACAGTATAACTTGTCAAAGCTGCGGGTATGGCTCAGATTTTTTTCTTGACTCTTGTGTGATTATATTATGTTTGCAGACCTAGTATTCATAACATATTTTGTTTGATATACTATAGCTTCTCTCTTCATATGTTGGTAGAGATACTGTTGTACTGATTACTTTGCCTTAAATGCCAATACATGCATTGTGCATGCTTGCATTTGTTTCAATTTACAAGTGATACAACCCCAATCCCAACCAAAGCCAAGCCACCCATGTGGGTGAGGAGTTTCTCAACTATCTTAGTAAAAAAGTTCATGCCGAATTGTTAAAAATATTGTTCAGGCAGGAACATTTTATTCTGCATTGTTATTTGGATGCCAAGTTAGCACATGGACTTTTTATTTTCATTATTTCTATGAACAGGATGTCTATCTCCATACAACTTGTCTTGCAACTTTGGCAAACATGGCACCTCATGTGCATCGTTTGAGTGCATATGCCTCTCAAAGACTTGTCAGCCTTTTCTATATGCTTTCACGCAAGTATGTGCTTCAATTTTCTCTCATTTTCTCTTGATCCTAATATTTTTCCAACACTTGGTAACATGATTCCCAAGGTTGACTCTTTCTGTTTTTTTTTTTTTTTTGTACCTCTGCATGGTTTCTAATTATTACACTAATAGTTTGCCTTTTGGATTTAGGTACAACAAATTGGCAGAGTTAAGAGAGGTTAAACTGCATGTAAAAGTGAATTCAAGAGAACAAGACAACGCTGGAGATGATATGGTTGTAATCATAGCTTCTTTATATCTTATGTCACTTTTTTTGTGTTTTATGTCATTTTGATGTTGTCCTCATTGTTTTTTTTTTTTTCTTTAACTTATGTTTTTACAGTCAGCAGAACTTCAAATTTACACTGATTTCTTGAGGATTGTCCTTGAAATATTAAACGCAATTTTGACTTATGCTCTACCAAGGAATCCTGAGGTATAACTTTTGATTTAAACATCTGCAATATATAAGATCATGTCTATTTTTCCTTCTCTCTTGTAAACACAGATTCTGAATCCTAACCTTGTGTGCTTCGCAGGTTGTGTATGCCATTATGCACAGGCAGGAAATCTTTCAACCATTCAAGAACCATCCTCGATTTAACGAGCTGCTTGAAAATATCTACAATGTATGCTCTTTTAATTTTAACAATGATGTGTCTCCCAATAAGCTTTCTCAATCTCTTGATAATATAGGGTTTTTTTTTTTTTTTTTCTTGGGTGCATTTTCCCCTTTGCCCTCTGTAGGTGTTAGATTTTTTCAACATCCGTATGGATGCTCAAACACTGGATGGTGAATGGTCTGTGGAGAAAGTTCTCCAATTCATAATCAATAATTGTCGATCTTGGCGTGGTGAAGGGATGAAGGTAGAATTACATAATTGAAATTATTTTTTCACTTTGAAAAATTTTGCATAAATTTGCCAAATCCTTTTATTATAATGGCCAGCAACATTTAACTGGGAGCTCTCCTTCTCTCTATTCTTTGCTAAATCTGAAACTCATTTTTGGCAGGTGTTTACTCAACTACACTTCTCATATGAACAAGAGAGTCATCCAGAGGAGTTCTTTATTCCATATGTCTGGCAGCTTGTAATGGCCCGCAGGTAATGCTTCTTCATTGTATCCTCCTTCTGTATTCATATAACGTTTTAAAACATAAATACAAACAGTTTGCATTGTTTGTGAATGGTTCCTTCACTAACATGTCCTCACACATACCCTTCTCTCTCTCTCTCTCTCTCTCTCTCTCTCTCTCTCTCCCTCTCTCTCTCTCTCTCCCATCAGTGGATTCAGCTTTAATCCAAGTGCAATAAGTTTGTTTCCGGTTGATCTGCATGCTGATGTAAGTATCTCGACCACTTCTAGAGTTTTGTAAAAGTTGGTGCCTGATTGTGGCTTAAAGTTTACAATAGACTCTCGTCCACCTCTATGCAGAAAGAGATCAGATATGGATGGGAACCCAACGCACATCCGAATGGAGAGGTGAATGAGATCAACCTTCATCTTGATCCATAATTTTCACTTTGGCTCATATCAATCCTACTCGTGATTTTGGCTGCTTTTGTAAATATATATATATATATAATAGATATATATAATATATATATATATATATGTATATAAGTAGTAGAAAATGTATTCTTCTAATTCTTTTCTGTTAATATGTTGGAAACACTGTAGAGACCCTGTTTTGCCTATAGATGAAGTTCTAGATTTGCAAATCCCAATCTTATGTAATAAGAAAGGACGATCAATTCCACATTTACATTAAAGTCTTAGAGAAAAGATAAGGTTTTTATTCTCTTTGCAGGTATAACGAGGAGAAAATTTCAGTATATTAGACTCATTATTCCAGTTGTTTTGCGATTCGCAAAAAGCAGATTGTAAAACAATATTTTGAGTTGCAGTTCGTGCAAGATAGATGGTAAAACAGTAGATATTATATATATATATATATATATATATATATATATATAAAGAGGGAAGACTTCTCTCGTTTATTTCTAGTAGAAGGCTACAAATCTCTTTGCATACAAAGCTTACTTAAGAGCTAGGTACTTGCTTTCTACAAAACTACATCATAGGGTATCCTCCTTCTTTATAATCAACGTTACTATTCGCCTCCACCATCTTTCTTCACAACAAGCGTGCAATATCCTAGATGAAAGATACGGGCTTTTCCCTCTGCTGCCTCTTTTGAGAGGCGGACAAAAAATGGGATTCCTCCTGGTTGTTGAACACCTGCTCCACCAATCTCGCTGGAACCCCAAACGACAGCTCCTGTGCCTCCCTCTCCATGTTTCTCACAATGTTGTTTCGTCCAGCAAGGAAGATTCTCTGGCTGTTCTTCGCGTTGATTCCAAATCCGATTGCCTTCATATCCTCGTTCTGGGAGGCAATCAAGCTCACCGGATGGTCTGCTAGGGTAATGAAGATGTCTCCGGGATTCGCTCTGGCAGTCACCCTCTGGTATTGTCCACTCCTCTGTTCTTCTTCTCCTTCTGCACTCTGTTCTTCCTGTCTCTGTCTTGGAAGCTGTGGGGAAACCATTTTGAACAATACTGATCCTTCCTTGATTAGAAAAACCATCGTTTGCTATGAATTGAAGTGTGGAAGAAAGATCGAACCCTGTGGAAATTATCAGAAATTTTATGATGATTCTCTAGATAAACATAAAATGAGAAGCAATTTGTTGAATCGCCTCTATTTTTTCAAGTACCTTATTCAATTGAAGAGCTGAAATACAAACATCGATGTTGTGGAGCTGCTTGAATTGCACCGGACAAGCCTCGTGGAAGCGGTCGTTTTCGTTAGAGTACACTCGGCGCTGGTTCAGTAGCTCGATCGGAGACAAAGACTTGCTATGCCTTGGTGAAGAAGAAGCTTCTGCGCTCAGTGCGCTAAGTTGCTCTTCTGAGGCACTCCTTATCCTTCCTACTTGGCTCTGCCCGCTGAACAACTTCCTTATCTGATCTTTTATGGTCTGAGAAGAATTAAAGAAACAAAATTACACCTCAGAATTATTAAAGAATTTGATTGTTGCAAAAGGAAAATTAAGAAATATATATATAAATATATACATTCAAGAAAGCTGCAAGAGTTTCAATTCTGAAGACATCTAAATAACCCTCAGGCTCTTCACCTCCGCTAAGTAAGAACTCCTGCAACCAAAATATTTAACTTTGGAAAAATCAGTAAAGAAGAAGTGGAAAAAAGAATTAAAGAGCAGAGGATATGTTGAAGTTGAAGTGGGTAACCTGAAAATGGCCAGGAGCATTGACAGGCTCATTGATGGAGGCGATATGAACTCATCGTCTCTTTCTGAGTTTACCATATACACGGTAGTCCCTGCCGGAACCCTAATTGCGTCTCCATATTTAACGTTGAAAGACTGTCTTCCATCATCGCTCACAAAGGTGATTGTTCCCTGACCTATAACAGAGAATATTAAAGTATTCGAGAAAATACCCAAATGAAAAATCCTATTTGTGTAAACTTTAGGAAGAAAAAGATCCAAGTTTGATGTATCTTACCCCTTACAACAACAAAAAGAGAATCAGAATCGCCGTGGTGTGGGACAACAAAGGTGTTGGCATATGCGTCTAGGATGGAGAGTCGGTAGTTTTCAATGCCGCGGAGAAGAGGGGACATCTGATTGAACTTAGGAAGAACGCTCCAGTGGCCTTGTCCGGTGCTGAATCGGGGTTGGAACCACTGTGATCGGATGAAGAAAGGATTGTTGCTTTGTTCCTCTTGTTCTGATTTGCAGTCCTCCTGTTGTTCCTCGAGTTGCTCCCTGCAAGTTCTTTGGCATTGTTGCTGCTTTTTTTGGCTTTGATGTTGCGTCTGGCAACGTTCTCTGCATTGCTCGTATTGTTTGCATGGCTCTTGAGGGTTGTCGCGTCGTCCCTCCTGTCGTTCCTCGTACTCCCTCTGGCACCTTTGTTAGCATCGGCGCTGGTGCCTCACGTCACGCTGCTGCCAATCGCAACGTTCTCTGCGTTGCTCGTGTCGTTGGCGGGGATCTGGGCAGCTCTCCTCCTCCTCTTGTTGTTCCTCGTACTTCATCTTACACATTTGTAGGCAGTGCCACTGCTGCCTCGATCATGATGTTGCCTGTGACAACGTTGCTGACAATGCTCATACTGATGGCGAGGATCGTCCTCCTCCTGGTATTCTCGCTCCCTCATTCTTCGCTCACATTGCTGCTGGCATTCCCCCTGACGCATATGCCCCTGTTCCTCTTGGCATCGCTGCTGGCAATGCTCGTACTCCCTCCGTGGACTCTCGGGGTTACTCTCAGTAAGCAACTCGAAAGCCTCTTCCCCCGGGCTACGAAGGTGAAAACCTAGAGAGAGGAAAGCAGAGGAAAGGAACAGAGTGAGGAGTAAGAGCAAAACATGGGGCTTATACATAGCCATGATTGCTTATAGAAGGAAGCCTGGTTTGTGTCGATGGGTGATGCAAAGGCGAAGAGAAGTGGGTATTTAGAGGAGGACGAGGCCAAATTCTGCATGCGATGTGAAGGCAACGTGTTGAAGAGTTAACATGCAAGGTGACGAGTGTTGTACGTTGTAATGGAACGAGATTAATTAAGTCTTTTTGAGTAGTAATCTGGAAACTGTTAGGTTCTCTTTGTATTTTGATGATGATTTAAAACTATGATTCAAAAGAGTTTAATTTATTTTTGTGCTAAGTGTATTGGAAAATTAATCCAAGGTTTCTAATCTTTTCTCACTATTAGAATTAATTCATGTTCTCCTTGTTCAGAGTTCTGGGTTCGAACCAATTTATTTTGGTTTGAATCAATCCTAAACTTTTGTTTTCCGAAAATGGTTCGAACCATTATTTTTGGCTTCGAAGCAAAAAAATTCTGAAAGATTAAATTTTGACAGCTCATCTATCCGTTTATTTTTATTCTTAATGGGCCTTGAGGGAACCATTATCTAAGCACTTTCCAAAATCAAGTTTAAGTTAGTAGAATAAGGTGTAACCTAATTGGGCAATTGTGAGGTGGCTTTGAAAGGCTAAATGGGCTTTAATTGCAAGGCTCCTAACCAACTATTAAATGGACATAAAAAATCAGATCTGCTGCATGAAGAAGGACGAACTGCTCCAGCAATACAGAAAATAGGGGTTTGTTTTTGAAAGTGTTCTGGATCTCCTTCTTCTTCTTTTCTTGTGAGTTTTTGGGTTAATTATCTTACAAGGGTTTTGTATTCTTCTTGGATTGGGATAATTTTTGAAAGGGTTAAGTGAGTTGAAATTCACTTGTGAGGGTTTAATCTTGCATCCGCAAGCAAGAATTTGTTCCGGTTTAATCTTACACCCGTAAGTAAGAGATTTCTAGTGGATTGAACTCTCGAATAAAGAGACTTAGGGAGTGGACATATTTCAGGTTGGAATCACGGCTTGATATTCTCTTCCCTCTCTTTTATTTTTCTGCATTATATTATTCTTGTTTATTCTGCACAACAGCCTATGTATATTGAAAATATCATTCACGTTTTTATAAAGGAAATGAAATGAGTTTTATATTTTAGGAATTGAGGGGTAGTTAGCTGAGATTACAGAAACCCCATGTCTGTTCACGCGGTAGCAGCCACTAGGGTGCGGCAACAGTTCATTTTGATTTGATCCTGTGTTATGTGGCGAAGTGATTGTGTGTGTTGATCTTTGGAATCTGATGTTTTTTGCGTCTGGACTAAGGGAATTGATGAGTTTGAGGTGGATGTGAAGAGGAAATGAGAGATGAGTTTCGTTGACTCGGTGAGTGATTAACGAGTTGAGAGGACAGCTCAGGACTCAGGTGGACACCTGTTTGCATGCATGTAATGGAGTTGTGGCGATATATGATCATTCATTCAACAGAGAACAGGCTTTGTGCTTGAGGACAGGGGAATTGGGATTTAATTGATTTCATGTTTGCACTTGGGATTGTAGAATTTAGGCACAGAAAAACGAAGTCATTATGTCTAATTACACAAGAGAAGCATATATAAATGACGTAAATCAAACTGAAACTTTCATATTATGCAAAATTACAAAGTACATAATTTCTCGTTTGCAGCATTAAGGAATGTAGAGATGTTTTACTAGAAAGTGCTCGCTCGATCCCACTTGGGATATTAATTTCTTTCATTTGCTCGCCCTTTTTGGAGTATTGGCAAACTTATATGTATAATTAGATAAAGAGTCATGCACTCTTTCACCACCAACTTCATCAACCGACACAACATGACAGATTTCTTTCAAGTTTTCCCCTGTGAGCTTGACTGCCAACGATCCAATGTTGTTTTCCAGGTTCTTAATCTTTGTTGTCCCTGTAAAACACCTATCTATAACTAAGAATCATTTTACAACTTTACGGTATCATAATCAAAATTACTATATCAATTAATAAAAAGACAGAGCTATATATAGCTTCTGCCTCAAGAATATTGCCTCAAGTATTTATAAGAACTTAAAACTCTAAAGTTAGAGATCTTACGATGGAAATTTTGAGAAGTCCCCTGTCATATAGTTTATCATAGTTACGTGTGAAAATGGTAATGTTGAAGGAAAAACTAGAGTATGACATACCAGGGATGGGAACTATATCTTCTCCCTGATGAAGAAGCCAGGCCAAAGCTAACTGAGGAGGAGTGCAGGCATGCTTTGCAGCCAGGTCAGTGAATCGAGTGTACAAGACTTTGTTCTTCTCTAAATTTTCCCCTCTGAATCTTGGATGCTTATGCTGCGACAGGAAGATTAAGGCAATAGAAAGGCATCATATATATGAAAGAGAAGAAATAAACTAAGAAATTTAGAATGACTCTCTTATATGTACCAGCAAACTATCAGTAGGTAAGTTTTCTGGAGTTGCCTTCCCACCAAAGAAACCATGACCAAGTGGGCTTATATGCCACTATCCCAATACCAAGCTCTCTAAGGTAGGAGAGAGACAGACAGTTAAGATTGAAAACAGTTAGACTAATATAATCATTTCAGGATTCCAAAAGAACTAGTAGTCTGTGTACAATTTGGAAAAATGAGAGGAGAAACCTGCAGAGTGGAATTACATCCTCTTCAATTTCACGACTCCACAGGGAACACTCCATTTGTAAGGCTGTTATAGGATGAACAGCATGAGCTCTCCTTATTGTGTCCACACTAGCTTCAGATAAACCAATGTATTTTATCTTTCCTTCTTCTACAAGCTTCTTGAGTTCATCCATCTACCATTGCAAATTTTGGTTCGAACTCTTATCAGAAATCTGAATGCAAGTAGATATAACAGGGAGGAACTTCGATTAATGCTAACGAATAGCATTTAACAGAATAACTCTTACAGTATCCTCTATTGGCACCGAAGTGTCCACACGATGCTGGTAGTAAAGATCAATGTAATCCACATCAAGCCTCTTGAGACTAGCTTCACAGCATTTCCGGACAAATTCAGGGGTCCCTTTCACCCCGAATTTAAATCCTTCTGAAAGAACAACTCCAAATTTTGTTGCCAACTGAACTTTTTCTCGAGGAAGCTGCTTTAAAGCCTGAAAAAATGCAGATGTTAAACTTTTGATCAGTGATGAGTTCAGCAAATTTTTTCAAATGAAACATCAAACAACCACAAGAAGGCAATCCTGTTTTTAATGCAAGGACAACTAAACTGAACTTCCAACAAGAAAGCATGCATATATACCTTCCCAACCATGATCTCATTGTCATGATCCTGGCCGTAAAGATCTGATGTGTCAAACAGGGTGATCCCCTTAGAGAAAGCTTCCTTTATCATTGAAATTCCTTCCTCATGAGAAAGAGGTGCATTGTATATTCCAGACAGTCCACCGCAGCCAAAGCCTAATCTAGACACCTTAAATCAAATAAATGACACCAGAAGCCCTTTTACTAACCGGAAATAAGTACCATTAGAAATACAGAAGCAGTAGAGGAATGCTGTCATTGCTTACTGACCAAAACATTGCCAGCAAAGAGAAGGCCTAGTAATCAAAACCATCATTTCTTAAAAGATTTACTCATTGAGTTACTAATGAAACTCTCTCCTGGTTTATGAATTTATTCTTATATGGGATCAAAAAAGGTCTGCACTCTGTAGTTTCACCATTGCTTGTAGAGGAGTATAACATCTTCGGTTTTATGATGGATTCACACTCATTAACATGCCAATGAATGCAACCTTTGATCAGTGAACTATGTCTCTGAATTTTAATCTATTACTCAGTGTTGCTTGTTAGATTCCATTTCCTTTCATTTCTTCCATTCTGCCCCTGGAGCTATTTATCAAGTATGAGAAGTTAACACCACAGCAACAAACTCCAAGTTTTTGGTCTACACTCATCTCAAAACATAAAAAACTGACAATTGCTTGATGTAAATTGTGTTGCAGATATTAGATACAAGACTTTGGTTTTAAAGGCCATAATTTATTCACATAAACCTTTACAATATATATAGAGTCTATGCAATCAGAATCCTAGTACAAACAGAAACTGAATTTATAGATTTGATACAGTATTAATATCTTGCAGATTCTAATAAATCTAGGATATTGATAATCTAAAGATACAAAACAGAGATTTGATTTACTTTGAGTTACTTTCCCTTAATAGCAGAATTATGAATAACCATCAATTCACTAAAGCAGTGACAGTACGCAATTTGGCAAATAAACAACATAAACAAAATAAAACAGATACTAACCTCCAATCCTTGACTGCCCAATTTCACTCTAGGAATCTGAACTCCTGTTTCCTTCTCCATTTTCAAAGAAACAAGATCCTGATTGAAGATGTTAATTGCACCTAAGAAGAAGAAATGTGAAGCATTTTAGTCCCAGACTATTTGAAACAAAATGTTACCTGTCTTCTTCATATTCTACGTTTTTTTTCTTTTAAAACAATCAACTTGCTCTCACCAATCATTTTACATTGATGGATCATGGACGCATCAACCGTAATGACTCGCTGCTTGACTTAAATACTAGACAAGAAGCATCTTGATTTAGATGGAGGGGGCCACTTTGCATATTCTATACCATTTGACGTCCAAGTACCATCTTTTGGCATCTATATGGATATTTTAAATAGATATTTCTTCGAGAAATACTACCAGGACAATCATTTGTCCCATTTTTTTGTATAACTTGACGTATCATTAAAATTATTGGTTTTTTTAATTTCTGTGGGATCAATAATATTAGATGCATCTATTCGTTTAATGATATATGGGAATTGTACAAAAAAGTGAGACAAAAAAATTGTCCCAATAGTACCACCCATATTTCTCCTGATTTAACACGACAACCGGAGGTTTGGACCGAACGTAATGATAAAGAGGATATTGGATCATTTGGGGATTGATTGTTTCATTTTCTATCTCACTTTCTTGGTGTATTAGCAACCTTGTATACATGATTAGCTGGAAAGGCACACTCTCTTCCGCCACCAACTTCATCAATGGGCACAACATCACAAATTTCTTTCAATTCCTCTTCTGTGAACTTCAGACCAAATGATCCAATATTGTTCTCAAGCTTTTAAACTATAATTGTCCCTGTAACATACAACTTCATAAGAATCATCCTATTAGAAAGAATCCTCCCACATCATGATTAATCAAAAAATGGTCCAAACAAACCTGAGATGGGAATTATCTCCTCCCTGATGGAAAAGCCAGGCCAAAGCTAACGAGGAGGGGAACATGCATGCTTTGTAACCTGGTCAACAAAACGGGCAAATAAGACTTTGTTCTTCTCCAAATTTTCCCCTGTGAATCTTGGATGCATGTTCTGTGACGGGAAGATTAATACGAATTAAAAGAGATTGTATATGAGGGAACAAACGAACTTTAAAAGTGAAGTTTAGAATTATTGTCTCTTTGATGTTGCATGGTACTAGCAAACTCTCAATAGGCAAGCTTTCTGAAGTGGCCTTCCCACCAAAGAAACCCTGACCAAAAGAACTACATACCACTTGTTGAGTGGAAAAATCCCAAATCAAGTATATAATAAAGAAACTTGTGGGTTAAATACAAGGAAGGTTATTTCACCTATAGCCAATTGGTTTTAGGTTGGATGCAAGTCTCGTATTGAGCCCATATGCACAATTTTCAGATGGTATAAGAGCTCAAATTTTGTCTTGGGAAGCCAATTGTTAGCCACCTGATAGGACTCGAAGTTAAAAGTTGAGTGAGAAAATCATGTGAGGGGGCGTGTTGAGTGAGAAAATCTCAAATCGAGTATATAACGAAGAAACTTATGGATTAAATATAAGAAAAGTTCTCCACCTATAGCCAATTGGTTTTAAGTTGGATGCAAACTTTGTATTGAGCTCACATGCATAATTTTCACACCACTATTCCAATACCAAGCTCTTTGAGGAAGGAGGCAGGTAAAAAAAATGATGATAGTGAAACCAAAAAATTTGAAATTTCTATGTATGCTTACAATTCAAAAACATCAAAGCTAGATGTTAGAAAACCTGCAGACTGGAATTACATCCTCTTCAATGTTGTGAACTCGGAGCAAAAACTCCATTTGTATAGTTGTTACAGGATGAACAGCATGGGCTCTTTTAATTGTTTCAACACTAGCTTTAGATAAATCAAAGTATTTTATCTTTCCCTCTTCTACTAGCTTCTTGAGTTCACATTTACGATTGGAAATGATATGCTAAAACTCTATCAGACAAATATCGAGATGAAATTCAATTTGATATGCTTAGGAAATGCTTTACTCATATAGTGTCTTTTATAGGCACCAAAGTGTCTACACGATGTTGATAGTAAATGTCAATATAGTCCACATCAAGCCTCTTGAGAATAGCTTCACAGCACTTCCAAACATATTCAGGAGTCCCTAACACCTCAAATTTGAATCCCTCATGACTACTGACTCCAAATTTTGTTGCCAACTGAACTTTCTCTCGAGGAAGTTGCTTCAAAGCCTTAAAGATGCATATATTAACTTTAACAACATAGATTGGTTTTTTTGGCATATTTTCTCAAAATCCATTACACAAAGACAAATTCTACCCCTATCAACATGAAGAGCTCAATTTGTTTTAAGAAAGCTTTACCTTTCCAACCATGATCTCATTGTCGTGATCATGGCGATAGACATCTAAGCAAGGTTGTTTAGATTGTGATCTTGATCATAAGATCACATGATTTTACAATGTTAAGTACTTTAAACTATTTAAATTGAATAAAAATTGTGGATATTGAAAATTCAATCGAAGATTGTGCACAAAATCATAAAATCATGAGATCGTGTGATTTTAAAC